TCACCTTGACCCTCACCAGCTTAGGTATCATGGGGTCCCTCACCCACTCATGTGTCACACAGACTCCCTCCTGCACTCGTGTATCACATAGAATACCTTTTTCACCCATGCGTCACACTCAGCCCCTCCAACACCCCTGTGTCACACTGAGTTCCACACTCATGTGTCACACTGAGTCCTTCCCCCACCCATATGTCGCGTATAGCCCCTCTCTCACTCACATGGCTCACCAAGTCCCACCAAGTCCCACTGCTCATTTGTCACATGGAACCCCTCCCTCACTCGTGTTACGTGAAGCCCCTCCCCCAACCTGTGTGCCACAATGAGCCCCGTTCTCATTGCAACACCTAGTACCTCCCCCATTCATGTCACATAGAGACACTCCCCCAGTCATGTGTCACTGAGCCCTTATCCTACTCATGTGTTACACCAAGACCCCCCCCACCTATTTGTAACGCCAGATCCCCCACTCATTCACGTGTTCCCACTGTCCCCCATCATGTGTCTTACTGAATCCCTCCCCCATTCATTTGTCACATTAGCCCCCCTCACCAGCTATGCATTACACTAAGCCCCTCCCCCACGTGTGTCATATAGATCCCCTCTGACGACAGTATGTCACGCTGAGCCTCTCTCTCTCATGTGTCACTCCCATATCCTTGTGTCACCACATGCCCTCTCCTACTCATGTGTCACATGGAGTCCCTCTCCCACTCATGTGGAATATGGAGCCTCTCCTCCACTCATGTGTCGCACTGAGTGTGGCCCACAACCCTGTGTCACAGTATGCCCCTCCCTTACACATGTGTCACACTGAGCCCCTCCCCTAGTCATGTGTCATGTGGATTCCCTCTCCCACTGTGTCAAATAGAGCCCCTCCCTCACTCCTGTGTCACACTGAACCCTTCCCACACCCCTGTGTCACGACAGGCCCCTCCCACATCCCTGTGTCACACTGGGCCCCTCCCACACCCTTTTGTGACAACACGCCCCTCCCTCACTCATGTGTCACACTGAGCCCCTCCCACACCCTTGTGTCACAACACGCCCCTCCCTCACTCATGTGTCACTCTGAGCCCCTCCCCTCATCGTGTCATATGGATTCCCTCTCCCACTGTGTCATATAGAGCCCTTCCCTCACTCATGTGTCACACTGAGTCCCTCCCAGACCCTGTGTCACAACACGCCCCTCCCTCACTCGTGTGTCACACAGAGCCCCTCCCCTCATCATGTGTCATATGGATTCCCTCTCCCACTGTGTCATATAGAGCCCCTCCCTCACTCATTTGTCACACTGAGTCCCTCCCACACCCCTGTGTCACAACACGCCCCTCCCACACCCTTGTGTCACAACATGCCTCTCCCACACCCCTGTGTCACAACACACCCCTCCCACACCCTTGTGTCACAACATGCCTCTCCCACACCCCTGTGCCACAACATGCCCCTCCCTCACTCAAGTGACACAGTGAGCCCCTCCCCTAATCATGTATCATATGGATTCCCTCTCCCACTAATGTGTCATATAGAGCCCCTCCCTCACTCATTTGTCACACTGAGTCCCTCCCACACCCCTGTGTCACAACACGCCTCTCCCACACCCCTGTGTCACAACACACCGCTCACACACCCTTGTGTCACAACACGCCCCTCCCTCCCTCGTCACACTGAGTCCCTCCCACACGCTTGTGTCACAACATGCCCCTCCCACACCCTTGTGTCACAACATGCCCCTCCCTCACTCGTGTGTCACACAGAACCCCTCCCACACCCCTGTGTCACAACACGCCCCTCCCTCACTCATGTGTCACACTGAGTCCCTCCCTAACCCTTGTGTCACAACATGCCTCTCTGTCACTCATTTGTCACACTAGCCCCTCCCACACCCTTGTGTCACAACACGCCTCTCCGTCACTCATTTGTCACACTGAACCCCTCCCACACCCTTGTGTCACAACACGCCCCTCCCTCACTCATGTGTCACACTGAGTCCCGCCCACACCCTTGTGTCACAACACGCCCCTCCCTCACTCATGTGTCACTGAGTCCCGCCCACACCCTTGTGTCTCAACACGCCCCTCCCTCACTCATGTGTCACACTGAGTCCCGCCCACACCCTTGTGTCACAACATGCCCCTCCCTCACACATGTATCACAACACGCCACTCTCCCTCAAGTGTCACACTGAGCCCCTCCCCTAATCATGTATCATATGGATTCCCTCTCCCACTAATGTTATATAGAGTTCCTCACTCATGTGTCACGCTGAGCCCCTCCCACATCCCTGTGTCACAACACGCCCCTCCTGCACTCATGTGTCACACTGAGCCCCTCCCACACCCGTGTCACAACACGCCCCTCCCGCACTCATGTATCACAACACGCCAGTCCCTCACTCAAGTGTCACACTGAGCCCGTCCCCTAATCATGTATCATATGGATTCCGTCTCCCACTAATGTGTTATATACAGTTCCTCACTCGTGTCACACTGAACCCCTCCCACACCCGTGTCACAACACGCCCCTCCCTCACTCGTGTCACACTGAGTCCCTCCCACACCCTTGTGTCACAACACGCCCCTCCCTCACTCATGTGTCACACTGAACCCCTCCCACACCCCTGTGTCACAACACGCCCCTCCCGCACTCATGTGTCACACTGAGCCCCTCCCACACCCGTGTCACAACACGCCCCTCCTGCACTCATGTATCACACTGAGCCCCTCCCATACCCTTGTGTCACAACATGCCCCTCACACACCCTTGTGTCACAACACGCCCCTCCCTCACCCGTGTCACGCTGAGCCCCTCCCACACCCTTGTGTCAGAACACGCCCCTCCCACACCCCTGTGTTACATGCCTCTCCCTCACCCATGGGTCACACTGAGCCCCTCCCACACCCCTGTGTCAGAACACGCCCCTCCCTCCCTCATGTGTCACCCTGAACCCCTCCCACACCCCTGTCACAATACGCCCCTCCCTCACTCGTGTGTCACACTCAACCCCTCCCACACCCTTGTGTCACACTGAGCCCCTCCCCTCATCACGGATCATATGGATTCCCTCTCCCGCTGTGTCATACAGAGCCCCTCACTAACTCATGTGTCACACTGAGTCCCTCCCACACCCCTGTCACAACGCGCCCCTCCCTCACCCATGTGTCACGTTGATCTCCTTCTCTATTCACGTATCGTATGGAGTCCCTTTCTTACTCAAGTATCATACAGAGCCCCTCCCTCCCTCATGTGTCACACTGAGCCCCTCCCCTCCTCATGTGTCACATGGAGTCCCTCTCCCACTCATGTCACACTGAGTCCCTGCCTCACTCATGTGCTGCACTTATTACCCCTGACTCGTGTCACATAGAGCCTCTCCTCAACCCATTTGTCACACTAAACCCTGTACCCGTGTGTCACACTGAGTCCCTCCTTACTCATTTGTTATATGGAGCCCCTCCCCCACTCATGTGTTACATGTAGCCCCTCCCCACCCTTGTGACACATGGAGCCATCTCCACTCACGTGTCACATGGAGGCCCTCCCCTACATATGTTGCATGGAGCTCCTCTCTTACCCATGTGTCACATGCAGCTCCTCATCCACCCATGTGTCACGTGGAGCCCTCCCCCAACACATGTTACATGGAGGGCCTCCCCAATGTGTATTGCATGGAGCCACTCCGTTACCCTTGTGTCATATGGAGTCCTTTCCCCACCCATGTGTCACATGGAGCCCTCCTCACTCACGTGTCACGTGGAGGCTCTTCCTTAAGTGTGTCGCATGGAGCCACTCCAATGCCTGTGTGTCACATGGAGCCATTCTCTACCGTGTGTCACATGGAGCCCCTCCCCCAGCCATGTGTCACATGGAACCCCTTCCCCACCACGTGTCACATGGAGCCCTTCGCCCCACCACGTGTCACATGGAGCCCCTTCCCCACCACGTGTCACATGAAGCCCCTTCCCCACCACGTGTCACATGGAGCCCCTCCCCCACCACGTGTCACATGGAGCCCCTTCCCCACCACGTGTCACATGGAGCCCTTCACCCCCTCCCTCGCCTTCCCCCCTCCTGTCCCCAGTTCTCCTTAGGGCCAGAACTCCGCACCCTGGAGCTTTTCTTCCATGTGCTGTTTAGGGGATCTTCTGTCATTAAGTCATTAATTCAGCAATAACGGTGTTATTGAACACCTACCGTGTGCCAGGCCGTGCATCTGTGGGAGAGTGTGTTGATGGTGCTGGTGGCTGCTGAGTCTGTGGCGAGGCCTGCAGCAGGGGAAGGCGGGCACGGTGGTCAAGAAAGATGGGCAGGGACCAGGGAAGCTCTTTATTTTTTAAAAACAACTTTATTGGATATCTGCATGCACGCAGTCCAGCCCCTGAAGTGCACATGTCCGTGGTTTCAGTTTATTCACAGATACAGGCAACCATCAGCAATTCGGTTTTGGAGTCGTTCTGTCATTTATCCTGTAGCCTTTACCTGTCACCCCATCTCCCCCTCCCCCATCCTCCGACCCTGAGTAACCCCTGGCTGCTTTTTGTCTCAGGGAAACTAACCTCCTCTTGGGCTCAGTGACACCTCACTAGCTTCCCAGAGGTGTCCTGACACAGACGGTGAGGCAGGAAAAGTGGCCGGGAGTAGAAAGCTGCAGAGGGGGGAAATCCGAGCCCCTGATGCCCACTCACAGCTCCTGTGCCAGCTCAGGTCTGCTGCCCCTGGGGTCCCCAGGCTCCATGCCCTAGCCTGTCTCCACAGCCTCCTGAGGCCTCCCTGTGGAGCCCAGCTAAGGGAGACCCAGGCCCTGGCCAGAGGAGGCAGCGGCAGGCCGCGGTCGGGCGAGGCACGCAGGCACCACCGTGCTGCAGGTCCCCAGCGGCGGGCAGTGCCGCCTGGGCTGGCTGTCCCTTACCGTCACTGCTGTCACCACGAGCAGCTGCTAGTGGCAGGTCCCACCTGCCGTCCGGGGTGCACACAATGCTTCCGGGAGGAGGGTCGCGGCCGTAGTCAGTAGGTGGGGGGTGAGAACGGCTTCATACAGGAGCTGATGCGCAGTTACCCAGCTCCTATGAGATGCCTTTCCTCACCCCTTCACCTCGCGCAGCCCCCGGGCCCTCCTCGGCACCCCCGGCTGCACAGGGGTGCGTCTTCGAGCTTGCTGCTGCCCCGCCTCCACCTGGCGAGCTCCTCTCTCTCTCTCTCTTCTGCAGCTCCCCAGCTCCTGGAGGTGAGGGCCGGAGCCCCCGGGCCGTCTCTGAGGCCCCCCTCTCAGAGGGAAGGCTGGGTCCCCTGTGGGATACTCCCCAGGGCTGGGCACTTGGTGGCCATGAGCAGACAGGCCAGAGATGGAGATAGGGCCGGCCCTGGGGCTTTTGCCTGCTGTTGATGGGGCTGCGGCTGTGCTCCCATAGGCAGCCCTCTGAGGGGACCCAGCTCCCAGGACACATGGGCAGGCTTTGCAGGGACGTGCCCTTTGTTCCCAGGACTGGGGGGCGCGGCTTGGACAGAGCAGGCTGACCCTTCCCACTGCCACAGGAGGAGGGTCTCCTTGAGGGGCCTTAGCCTCTACCCAGGATTCTTTCATGACCAGGAGGCTGAGGCCCCTCACAGGCGGCTGCTTACTCTCTCCCTAAACCGGGTCTGGAGACACTCCCAGCTTCCCATGGATTCCCGACTCTGGGTCCGGCCTCCCTGAGCCAGAGGCTGTCAGCAGGTGCCCCCTTCTTCCCCTTGTCCTGCCCTGCCCAGGCTGGGTGCCTGAGGGCACTAGACCAGTGTCCCCCTGTGCCATGGCCCTCGTCTTTTGTGTCCCCCACTAACTCAGGTCCTGTGCATGGTGGGAGGTGACCTGTGCCAAGCCCCTGTGCTACTGGAATCATTAACCCATTGACCAGCCATGGCAGCCAGCCCAGGCACACGCATGGGGTGGCAGCGTAGGGGGAGGCCTTGCCCACAGCGTGATGCCCTTAGAGTGGGACAGGAGGGGCTGGATTTCCGTCTCCCTTCCCCTGCCTCCTAACTCTTGACCCCTTCTTTACCCCCCATCCCCCACCCCGGTCCTGCACCTCCCCCCTCTGCCCATCTTCATACCTTTTATCCTTCACAGCATCAGGAGGTCCTTGTTGTTCAGGAAGGCCTTTCTGACCAGGGAATAGCTTGAACAAAGGCAGGGGGACTTCAGGAGTGGTGGGAGTATGTTGTGTGTGCCCTTGTTGGGTCAAGTGGGTCAGAACAAGACATGACACAGGGAAGACTGAGGTCCTGGGAGGCCTCAGTGTCAGCCAAAGGAAGGCCTTTCACCTACTCAGGAATGCCCTTGGGGATATATAAGAGCTCCGAGGGGTGGACAGTATGTGACACACGGTTGGCGGTGGTTCTCCAGCCTCCCGGGCACCAGGGCCCTGAATCTCCATGTTTGACAAGCTCCCCAGTGACTGCCCAGGGCCGCGCTTTGAGAAGCGCCTGTAGGAAGTGGTCGGAACACGGCGCTGCCGTCTCCGTGCTCCTGCCTCCACTAACCTGCTGGCCCGCCACCGCCGAGGCCGGCCACACTTGCTCTGTCCTCTTTTCTGGGGCTGCTCTTCTTTACCCTTGGGCTTTGGCTGCCTGGGTAGCTGTTGAAATCTTAGGTTGAAGGCGTTTCAGAAATGTATCCTCTGTTGTGGAAGACCCTGCGTAGGGGCCAGGATGAGGGTCCCAGTTAGGGCCCAGAGCACCTCTTAGTGGTGCCCATCGGCCCGGCAGCAGGGCCTGGGTGTGGGGGGCAGGGTGTGGGGGGTGTGGGAATGGCGCCCCGGTGGGCGAGGAGGAGACTTCAGGTTTCTGCTAGCCTAGCTCCCCCCACACCCCCTAGCACAGGGTGGGGCAGCACGGCGGGGGGCTGCATCAGAGGCCCCTAATTGGACCTGCGGCCGCCAGCGGGAGGGATGGACACACCTGGACCTGAGTGGTGAGTAGCCGTCAGCTGCCTGGGAGTGTTGCATGGCCCAGAGACAGGCCCAGCGTGCTCCAGGCCTGCGGGCTGGAGCGCTAGGGGCATCTGTGGGGGTGGGCCGGGCGGGGAAGGGAGGTGGGAGAGGGGTTGACAGCCTCACCTGGGCTGGAACTCGGGGCTGACCCGGTCCCTGGACGCCATCAGAGCTCCCCGGATGCCGGTGATCTTGGGGGTGGGGAGGAGGTGGATGCGGGGACCGCTCAGCGGCGGCCTGGAGTGGGCCGTGTGCCTGTGTCCGGGGACCCTGCTGTCCAGAGGAACTAGGTGCTTGTCTTGATCTTTCACCTTTTTTGTGGCGTGATGTCATAACCCAGTATGTCATTTAATGCTAAGTTTCTCTTTTTTCTTTCAGAAGAAAAAAGGTTTGTATTATGTTTTTTAAACTCTTTCTAGGAAGGTGGGGACAGCATTGATGGTCATTCTCCTCAGCCTGGGGGCTGCCTCTCTTCCCTGTCAATGGAGATAAAGGACCTCTGGTTGGATTGGGGCGGGGGACCCCGTGAGGCACGTGTGTGTGCGTGTTGACTGTGCGTGAGCGTGTGCGCCGTCATGGGCCTTTGGAGTCCCTGCTGTAGGGCAGGCAGATTGTTTGGTGATGAATTCTCCATTTGGCCTTAGCTGAGAGGTCATCCCTTTGCCCCTCCACTGGCACTGGCCTGGCAGGTGCTGGGACACAAGGGGTCCTCCGTCCATCCTCCAGTCGCCCAGGGTAGCCCCTGCCAAGCAGGCACACAGGTTTGCCCTGGAGGTCTAGCCTGTGGGACCCCCAGGTGGCCTGAGCAAGGGGCCAGTGCTGGGAGCGGCCTCCCCACCATGACTCCAGGCTCCACCACAAAGGAGTTCACGCCAAGAGTGACATCTGGATTTGGGAGCCCCCGCAGACAATGCCATCTGGAAACGAAGGAATTTTTAGGAACCAGGGGCCCTTGGAGGTTGTGTCCTGTTGCCCCCGAGACTTCTCTTTCCTTTCACCATGTCCCCATTTGACGATGGGAAAGCGTGCCCGACAGCCACCAGCCAGGGTCACCCAGCAGGTTGGGTTTGGGACTACTAAGCGTTCTTGCAGCTGAGCCGCTGACCCATGGGACCTGCCCTTGGTCTCTTGGGGCTGCTGCTAGGTGGACAGACAGACAGATGTGTGCCCTGGGCTCCGGGGCCACAGTAAGGTGTATGTGGGGGTCGTTCCTGGGTCCTGCAGCCATAGGTGTGCAGAGTGGGCGTGGCAGGGGTTGAGTGGCCCAGGGTGAGAGGGCAGAGGTCAGCAGGACAGGCCCCAGTCGTGGTTCTGTTCCTCACTGCTTGGTGGCCACCAGCAGATTGCCTGCCCTCTTGGGGCCTTGGTTTCCCCAAGTTGATCCTGAACCAGAGGTCTGAGCAGTCCATGCAGGGGTGGAGGTGGAGGACAGGAGCCTGAGGGCTGATTGCGCCGAGCTCTTTCTTCCTGACCCTTTGAGTCCTCACAGCAGCCCTGAGGGGTTCGAGCCACAGATGAGGAAACTGAGCCTGGGAGAGGGGTGTGCAGCCAGTCAGCAGGGGGTAGGTGGGGGTGAGAGAAGCCCAGGGGTACGGCTGAGCCCCTGGCTTGAACCTGGGGATCCTGACCGTGATCTCTTGGTGCTGCCATCAGGGGTAGATGCCTTGGACAAATGGATGGGTGGGCGACGGCCTGTTGCCACTGGGGACCAGTGAGGGCACAGGGTGTGAGCCTGGTGGAGGACACGGAAGTCCAGGGGTCAGTGAGAGACATGGCTTCCCATAGGGTGGGGCGAGGCGGGGCGGGCCTGTGAGGGGGATGGGAAGTCAGGCCCCTGCAGAGCCCCCTGACTTTTGAATGAACCTGAGATCTGCTTAGTGATCTCACGGTGCCACCGTCGGGGGGCAGATTCCAGTGCTAAGAGGGCAGATCTGGGGTCCATGGTGCCATGTATGAGGGTCCATGTGCACGGACCTCAGTGTCAGGCCCCCTCTCCCAGTTGAGGTTCCAGGTCACACCAGGAGTGGTCCCTGTCCGGCTACTGCCCAGTGTGGAGGGGCAGGGGCAGTGTGCCCTGGGAGGTCAGAGGCCGCTGCTGGATGGGTGGCCCCTGAGGCCAGGCAGAGGGGCCCCTGGACAGCGTGTGCTGGACTGTGGGATGAGTGAGCCCTGAGTGAACCCTGAGTGAGTGAGTGCTCCCTCCTTGCGGCCCTCGCCCACTTGGGACCCCTCCCCCTTCCTAGGTCGTGCGCCCTCAGAACGTCCATTCTGCCACTTTTCTGGCAGTGTGACCTCGACCTTCCCCCCAGGGGGTGTTGGGGAGAACTGCTTGAAGCCAGGGCTCCTGGTCACAGACCCTCTGAATTAGAGGGGTCTGCCCCCTGCCCTTCTCTCACTTCTTGTGTGGGAATAAGACCAAGGCCAGAGGTGGGATTTGGATTTCTGGGGTCCCTAGTCCAGACCCTCAGGAAGAGGCAGCTCCCAGTGTCCCCCACCCCCAGCTTCTGTGCCAGGTGCCAGGTGGGGCTTGTCTCAGGGGGGAGCCCAGCCGCCCACCTGCCCCCTTCCACCCTCCGCCCTGCCTGTCCCCCACCCTTCACCTTCAGAACAAATCACAAAGTCAGAGAATCTTTTATTCTGCTTTATTTGGGGGTAGAAAGGTGAGGGAGGGGGGAAAGGGGCAGAAGGGTCTCCTCCCCGTGGCAGGGAGCAGTGGTCTGGTGGGAGCACTCTCAGTTCCTCGGCACAGTCTGCTGAGGGTCTCGGGCCTTCCTCAGTTTCTCTGGAGCCACCTCCCCTTGTCATGGGCCTTGGGGCCCCTGTGCCGTCAGTGCTGGGTGTGGGGAGGGAGGCTCGGTGTCCTGCAGAGTCACGGAGACTCTCAAAGCTGCACGTCCGGTAAGTCCTGGTACGTCGGGATGTTCCGTGGAGTAGCACTGTCCAGGTGAGAGCCCAGAGCGCAGGGTCAGGCAGAGTCAGTGTCGAGGGAGCTGAACCAGACTTGGGGGGTGGGCGGCTTTGCAGTGGGTGGGGGGAGGGGGCACACGGCACAGCACGAGACGTGGGGAGGTGGGGTTGGGGGCCCAGGGGAGCAGGAGCACCGGTGGTGGAGGTAGAAGAAGTCAGTGGAGCACCCGAGGTCAGTGTCCCAGTGGCACATGGTGGCCACTTGTCACTCGGGGAGGGTGGGGGGGTGGTCCCTGGCATCTGCTTGCTTGGCTGTGCCTGCTGTGCCTGATTTCTCACCTGCCCTTGGGTCATGGGGTCATCTGCCCATCACTGCTTCCTCCTCTCATTGATCTCACTCCCAGTTGCAGGCCTGGGACCTAGAGAATTAAGACGGGGGTTGTGTAGCCCTGAGGTTGCTCTGGGTCTCTGATGGTTGGATAGTCCTTAGCACAGATGACGTTGCTGGTTAATGAGTTGAAGAAAGTTTTGCCCTTCAGAAGTAGGTTCCCCTTGGGTCCGGAGTAGCAGGAAGGGGGCACTGGGTCTGAGCGGAGCAGGCTGAGGCACGGGGAGGCTGGAGGAGATCCTGTGGGCTGTTCTGGGGCAGAGGAGTGGAGGGGCTCCTGGCTGGCGAGGAGGCGTGTTCAGTTGAGGTCTGAGTCTTCCTCCTCCTCGTCCTCCTCGGGTATTTCCTCCAGCCTGGCTTCTTCCCTGGGTGGGGTCACCCGGATGATGGGGAGTGGAGCTTGTGCGTAAATGCCGGTCAGGAAGTGGGTCAGGGCCCTGGCCATTGGCCCCGGGCTGGCCACGCTGGGCTGTCTGTGGGTGCTGCGGACGTAGAGTTGGCGGTTGTTCAGGATGGCAAGGACTTGGGAGTCCCCGGGGACTCGTTGGTGGGGTCGCAGGGCCAGGGTGGTGTCGGTGGCTAGGGCCTCCTGCACGTCGTCCTGCTCGTCCTGCGAGGTGTCTTGCAGGCCGTCATGCAGGCCACACTGACGGTAACGTTGCAGGTCGTCTTGCAGGGCTTCTCGCAAGACGACATCTTCATCACCAACGACGTGCAGCTCCAGGTAGCGGTTCTCGAGAAGGAGGGGGCTGGTTCCCTCTTGCAGGGCAACTCTGACACCGAAGAACTCACGCAGCGTCAGCCAGAGCCTGGGCATGAATGGCGGGCCCCGGCGGGTCTGGGGGACCAGGGCGGTTTGCTGCCGGTGGCCAGGGCGCAGGAATAACTCAGCCAGCTCCTCGGCTGGGATGGTGTTAGTGCCCATGAGAGGCGGCATCTGGGCGAGCAGCTGAGTGATGGCAGGGGCGATGCCACTGCCTGTGAGGAGGGACGTGTCCAGGATGAGTCGCAGCGAGCGCCTGGGTGGGGGCTGAGCCACCTCCAGGGTGGGCGCGGGCAGCAGCGCGAGGGGCCGCCGCAGCTTCAGGAGTGCGAGGAGTGCTGCCACGGCCAGGATGTTCTTCCAGAAGAGGAGGCCTCGGAAGAAGTGCAGAATGACTGCCCTGATCTGGGCTATGCTGAAATGGGCAAGCAAGCTGCTCAGTATTTGGTCAGTTGGTATCAGAGCCAGGAACTCCTGCTGGAGGGTCTGCCCATTTGTCTCATCCTGGTGAGGGGCATCTCCATTCTCTTCTTCCCCGGATTCTGGTAGCTGATCCCTGAGGGATCTTCTTGTAGCCAAAAGCATTAGTGACCGAGTGGCAGTGTTGTGCTGGAGAGCTCTTTGGTTGAGGTTTCTCACAGGTGGCAGAGATCGGCCGCCATCTTGTTCTGGCCGCTCCATGACGTCAAAGTTGAAGTGGGAGAAGAAGAAGACCCAATGCCCGGGGAGAAGTACGGTGAGCCTGTCATTATTCAGAGAGGCTAGATCCTCTGTGTTAAGAAGGATCATGATGGGCTCCTCGGTGTTCTCCAGGTAGCGGCACCACACCATGAAGGCAGCCCTTATTGGAAGAATCTTCATCTCCAGTTGAGAGTAGTCGACCTCAATAGGAGAGATGTTTCGGGAGTAGAAAGCGCAGGAGACTCTCTTGCCAGTTTGGTTGTCTATTTGGATCAGGGAGGCGTGCAGAGCCGTCTTGGTGACGCCTGTTTCCAAGTAGAACGGGTTCTGGGGCTTAGGGTGGTGGAGAAGGGGCGCCTGGCGGAAAGCCCGCTTCAGGCATTCGAAGGCCTCTTGCTCCTCGTCTCCCCAGAAGAACGGTTCGCTGGTCAGCAGCTGCCTCACCAGGGCCTCCGTGATGATGGTGAAGCGCTCCACAAAGTGCCGGTAGGGGAAGGTGAATTCGATTAGGTGTCGCAGGGACTTCTTAGAGCCAGGGACGGGGTACCCTGTCACAGTGGTCACGATGCTCTTGTTTAGCTTCACCCCTTTGGGGGTCATGACGAATCCCAGGAATTCGACAGTATGTCTGTGGAACTGGCTCCTGTCCAGTGAGCAGTAGACGTTGTGATGGCGGAAACGGACCAGGACGTGGCGGACGTGTTGGAGGTGTTCCTCCTGGCTCATGGAGTAGATCAGGACGTCCTGCCCGTAAGAGAGCACAAAGTAACCCAGCATGTCCTTTAGGATAAAGTGAATCACCTTCTGAGGGATGACAGGGTCTGAGGATAGCTGAAAGGGCTTGTAGCTCTCCATCTCTTGAAGCTCCAAACCAAACGCTGCTCTCCATACATCTTCCGCTTGGCATACGTTCATGCTTTCCTCCACAATGGTCCCACGCAGCTCCAGCTTTGTGAACCATGTAGCTCCGTGTAACTGGTCGAATAGTTCTGGAATCATCTGTATGTAGTCCTGTCTGTTGGTCAGCATGTCCTGCAGATCCCAGAATTCATCCCGTAGCCTGGCTCTTTCTTGCATCCTGGCACCCACAGGTTCCCAAGGCGCGGTGGAGGGACATTCGTAAAAGGTCTCGCTGTGATCACTGTCTCCAGCCTGCTGAAGCTCAGAGGGCTCTGATTCAGAAAGATCATCGGATCCGTCTGAGCTTGGCTGGTCGGAAGTCTCATCATCTGCTTCCTTCGGGTTAAACACGTCGGCCAGGTCGGAGTACAGGGGCGGCAGTGCGGGCAGCAGGCGGATGGCATGTCTTTCCAGCGCGATGCATGGTTGGGGTGGGCGGAGGCAGTTCTTCAGGCAGTAGGGAGAGTGAAAGGTGCAGCGGCCTTTGATCCAGTCGACCTCGGGGGCGTGGACTTGGAGCCACTTGGTGCCCAGTATCACGGAGAAGTTGGGTGAAGGAACAATGTCGAATTCGAGGGTCTCCTGGTGGTTCTGATGAATGCACACCAGGGGTTCGGTGTAGAGCCAGACCGGGTGGTCGCCGATCAGTGAGCCATCCCTGGTTTGGATCGACTGTGGGTAGGGCTTCTCATAGAGCTCCACGTAGTGCTCTTGGGCAAACCGCTCATCCATGAAGTTGGCGCCTGCCCCTGAGTCGACCAGGGCCTGAACCGCGACGCTGTGGTAGGGGTTCACTCTCACCATGAGCAGCAGGAAGAGATGGTCGCGATCGATGGTGGGGTGGACTTCGCAGGGAAGCCAGCTGCTGACCTTCCACCTCTCTGGAGCAGGTGAGTCAATCCAGGTCAGGTTCCGCGGGCGGGCCTCTGGGGGCAGCCTGAGCATTGCCCTTCTCTCTGCCAGTTTGTCTTCTATTTGCAGGACGAGCACAATCAGATTCTGCAGCGAATCCGGCTGAGGGACTCGGAAGAGATGATGCCTGATCTCTTCGTTGAGCCCGTGGCACAGGTGGGCTTGCAGGACTTCATCTGGCCAGCCCAAGGTGGGTACCAGGCCTTGGAACTCATTGATGTACTCGATGGCGGGGCGATCCCCCTGCCTGATGTTGAACATGGCCTCTTCCGCCACGCGCAGTGCCTGCCGGTACTCAAACATGTCGGACATGGCCTCCAGGAAGGCTGGGAAGTTGTTAAGCAGAGGGCTGTCTTCTTCCACCAGAGCATTGGCCCATTCTAAGGCTAAGCCTGAGAGGTGGCAGATGACGTACCCAACTCGCAGGCGGTCGCTGTAGAACATTCTTGGGCAGCTTTGTAAGATGAGTTGGCAGAGCACGATGAACTCGCGGTATTCTCTGCGATCGCCCGAGAACTGCTTCGGGAGGGGCAGTTGGCCTGCGCTGATCCCTCTCATCAAGATCTCTTCTGCTACTCTTTGTTGTTCTCTGAGGTCTTGCATTCGGAAGTAGAGAGAGATGATGGACCTCACCTTGGCCATGGTTTCTGCAGTCGAGATCTCGGTCTGCTCTTCAGGACCCCTCACTTCTCCCGATTTAGCCAGGTTGGTGTTGTCGCCTTGCCCTTCCTGGGCTCCCCAGGGGTTGACTGATGCTTCTTCCATTCTACCAGGTGCCTCACTGAATGGATCCCCCACTTCCTGATGTGAACCAATGCGTGACTCCTCCAGGTCTTGGAGTAGGTCATTGGGTGGATCCTTTATTTCCCTATGTGGGCCACTGGATGGCTCCTCCATGTCTTGGAGGAGATCAATGGGCAGCTCTTTCATTTCCTGGGCCGGGCCACTGGCCAGCCCTGCCGCCTCCTGCTCTCCACTGCCTGATGTCTCCACGGTGGTGTTGGATGAGCCCTCGGAGGACTCCATTTGTTTTGATGATGGATTCTTACGCTCCATCATCGTCTCAAATGAGTCTTCAGAGGGTTCTATCATGTCGTCGGATGGAAAAGAGGGTTCTCTGAAGACTGGTAAGATTGCGATGCGTCCGGTCAGCGACTCGGGCTGCAGGGATCAGAACCTGGGGGTGGGAACGAGGGTGGGGAGTAAAGGCAATAGTTTAGGATTTCGTGAGGTGAGGGTCAGGTTCTCCAGGACAAATCAGATGCCCAAGTCATGAGAACAGGGAGAAACTGCGGAAGGTCTCTTGGTGTCCATCTTGGGGTACCCCCAGGAAGAGAATATCTGTCAACCCCTGACCTTCTCGCCTCCTCTCCCAGGCTTACTCTGCCTGTCTGGCCTGCCCACTCCCTTGTGGCTGTGAGAAATTCACAGCCCATAAATTTTGTGGAGCGATGGGCCCAGAGCGGCTGCCATGGCAGGCAGGCACCTGGCAGGATACATGAGCCGCTTCATTTTACCCTGGCACATGTGTGCCTAGTCAATCCACTTTCCCTTCTCTGGTCACCCAGAAGTCACAGGGGTCACACCTCAGTGCTGTCCAGAGCTGTCCTTGGCAGGCTGGCTGCTCTGCAGCAAGCTTGGCCTCCTTGGTGGTGAGGCAGGGATCTCTAGCAAAGATGCTACCGTTTAACAGGTTCATGGAAGGAGGAGCAAATGGGCAGTTGGCCACTGTCCCATCAGTTGGGTCAGCGGCCCCAAATAGCTCTTATTTCCTCCCCCAGATTCAAAGTAGAAATTGCGGGGGTCGGATATAGAGATCTGGATTCTGGCTTTTATTTTTTCTATAAACATTTATAAGACACCTACTATGTGCCAGAGAATTTGTGACTTGATTCTAACTCTGAATTTTTGATGATCTTTCTTCCTCTCTTTCGTCTCCTTCCATTGCTGTGTTCTCCGCAGCTCTGAGCTGTTAGGAGCTCTGTAAATCACCTCCTCGCCCCTCCTGAGATTTCCCCTTTCCCGGGATTGCCCTCTTTGTTTGTGGGGGTTTAGGAACTTCAAACATTTGGCCTCAATTCCACAGGTGCCAACGTATTTATACCCCCTCCAGTGTTACCAGGTGGGGCTGGCCTCTTCAAGCAAGCAGACACTCCCTTCCCTGTTACTGGTGGTCCCCCCAGATTACGGATGTGTCTAGAAGAGTTGGGATGTTGAGTAAGGGGTGGGGGGAGGGCATGACATTTCTTTGACGTCTGATTGTCTTGGGGTGGATTCTTGAGAATCTAGTCATAGGTGGTTCTAGCGGGCAGAGACTGTATTTAAAGAGATGTTTTGGTTGGGGTTGTTTGCACATTTCTTCTCATGGGGGCAGAGCAAGTTTTGTTCTGATTATCCGATAGATTCGCTCTGCGGTTACCTCTCTCTATATATTTAGCACCTTTGTTACTTTTCAGTTTTCTTCTTCGCCACTGGGCTGATCTATTAAAAAAACGTGCATTGTCTTACATAAAACTTCTCATTGGCTCAAATCCAACCTTTCCAACAAGACGCAAAATTCTGATCTGTTGTTTGTCAAAATTAAGTACATTCTTGTTAGCATGACAGTTCAATCTGATTCTGCAGGCCCTCTGATTAAAACCGTTTGCTGTTTATTTACTGTCTACGATATGAAATTTAAACCTTCTACCCATAAAAATTCTTGACATATAAACTCACCAAAGTCATTTTCTGGCTAAAATTTAAAGGCCTTAGTATCATAAAAAATTCTTATCATGTCATTCCTCAAAGCATGATGTCCAAATTAGGTAAAATCATCACCACCATCACCATCATAACCATCACCATCTCTGTCTCCATCATAGCAACATATACATAGCACATTGCATAAATTAACTCATTCCTTCTTCGTAAATGTCCTGTAAGGTTATATTATTATTGCAAAATTCCAAGTCTCTAATATAATGTTCTAATTGAAATACAAAATTTGACTACGTAATTCATTTGCAGACTCATCTGTTAGAAATAAAAATCTCAGTATGTCTCTTAAAATTCTTAAAACCCTGTATTAGCTAAAATTTAAAATTTAAAAGTTTTAAATTGGCTAGAATTTAAAAATTTAAGTTGGCTAAAATTTAAACTTTAAAATCTCAACTTGTCTCTTAAAACCTTTTATTGGCTAAAATTTTAAAGATTTAAATTGGCTAAAATTTAAAATATCTCGGTGTGTCTCTTAAAACCTTTTATTGGCTAAAATTTAAAATAAACTCCTTAACAAGATGATTTACAAACTAGATTGTAGCCCCTTCTTAATATAAAGTCTCCACTTCTTCACATATTTACAAATCTGATGTAACTGATCAAATCCTTCAACTTTGCTGTCTTCAACCTAAAATCTAATATCCTCAGCGTGTTATAAAAACCTCATCTTAATATTCCTTGACATCAAGGTTCAAATTTTAGCAGGATGCATAAAAGTTATCTGGTAACTTTTCTATTTAAAACTTCGAAAAGTTTCTTCTCATTGCCTATAATGTGAAGTTCCAGTCACTTAGCATAAAATAAAAGTTTTTGTCATGTAATTTGTCTGCAAACTGATGGGTATAAAACTTTACCAGGCCACTCCTGAAACCCTTCATTGACTTCATCCCAAACCTCTAAGCATGATCTAAAAATCTGAGTATGTTATACCTCAAAATAAAAAGTCACACTTCCTTGCAAGATAGATGTAACTTCTGATTAAAGCCTTATAATATCTTTTATCACCTATGAGATAAGATCTAAACTCCTTAGCATAAAATACACATTTTACTGTATAATCTCTGTAGATTGCTCTTATAAATACAGAAATTTTGCCATGCCACTCTCTTAAAATCTCTTAAAGACTGAAGTCCAAATTGCTTAGCACGACACAAAATTGCGATCCTCTCGTTCCTCAAAATAGCGTCCACGCTTCTTAGCATGCTCTGTAAATTCGGTCCTAGCACCTTTGCTTGCGACCTGCCTGCCTCGGTATTACTTGCTATCCATGATCCAGTTCCTCAGCATACAGAACAGACAGGGTGCACTTATGCCAAAGGCTGCCTCCTCTGAGCTGTCGATGCTGGTTCGATATCTAGTTCATCAAATCCAGACACCTTACCACAAAATATGTTTTTTCCAGCTAATTCCCCTGGAGACAAAACTCTCATCAGTCGCTCCTTAAAACCCTTTCCTGGCTAAAATCCAGATCCCTCTGCATGAGGGTTCATCCCCGAGCTCATATCCCTCCCCAAATGAAATGCTCGAATGCCTTCCACTCTCACGTAAAATCATATCTCTTTGGCATGTTATAAAAATCGGATCATATTATCTTCACCATAAAAATCCACTCTTGTAGCCAAAATGTCTAAGTTTGATCACGTAACTCCCCTCTTTAAAACTTTTTAAGGTTTCTTCATTTTCTGTGACGTCAAGCGCCGACTACTTAAGATAAAATGCAGTGTTCTACCATGAGATTTATCTTCAGACTGGTCTATAAAAACTCAAATATCTCACTCCATCATTCTTTTCAACATTTTATTAGCTTAAATCCAGACTTACGAGCATGATATAAAAATTCGATCTTGTCATCCCTTAAAATTCACATTTCCTAGCACAGTCTATAAAATTGGATCTTAGAACTCCACCTTAAAATCTTACAGTGTCTCTTAATTGTGGAACTGTGGAATAAGAGTCCCAATTCTTAGCACAAAACATGAATTTTATTTTCTTATTTCACTGCATACTATTTATCAAATTCAAATAAACTCAACCGTGTATCTCTCTTAGAACTTTTTATTGGCTAAAGTCAAATTCCTAGGCGTGTGCAAAAATCTGTGATGTCAGAGCCTCAAAATAAATTCCGAATTTCTTTGCATATTCCCAGTGTTGATCATGTAACTCCTCTGATTAAAGTCTTTCAACTTTGGTATCAACATCAGTCAAATCTTCTTGGCATGCTCCGCAAGTCAGCCTTTGGCATTCTCTCAACATATAAGGTCCAAATGTTTTAGCATGAGACTGAAATTTGTGGCTGTTAGTTTTCTATTTACAATTTTTCAAATCTTTCCTCATTGCCTGTAATTTAAAGTCCAAAGCTGTTAGCCTTCAGCTACGTTTTATCATGTTTTCCTTTAGACTTATCTCTGCGCAAGCAAGAATCTCATCCTTGCATTTCTTAAAACCCTTTGGCAAGACTCCAACATCCTTAGCATGATATCAAAGTTTGACCCTGTCACTCCTCACAATAAAGTCCAGATTTCTTCCCTCAAACACCAAATCTGTTCACGAAACCACCACTTAAAATCTTGTAACGCATCTTCATCACTAACGAAATTTCTCAACAACCCAGCCCAGCACCCACATTTAATCATTGTGTTCTCAGTTTAAAACCTTTCACGTTCCATGTCCCCAACGTAAAATCCAGGTATCTGAGCATGAGATGAACATCGGACAAAGTATTTGTTTTATTGAAAAGTCTTTGCGCTGCTCTTCGTTACTTAGGAGAGAAAGCCTCGGTCCTCTGCAGGAGACCAACATTGTTCACCATCTACAATTTCTAGGTCCGGTTCCTCGTTCCTCTCATAGTTCACCCCTGGAGGACTGGGTTTCTGATTTCCTGCCCCCAAACACATCTTGATTTTATCGTCCCAGGTCTTTGTAAGTTTAAGCTCATCTCCTGCCTGTCATTCATTAATTCACACAGCAGCATGTCCTGGTTGTTTTTTCTGGGCCAGGCGCTCTGCTGGATGGCCAGTGTGAAGAAATGGAGGCAGCCTTGCCTTGCGGAACATCCCCAGCCAGGAGAGGAGGACCACACCCTCGTGCTAAATGCTGTGCTGGAGGTGAGCGTGGGGTCTTTTGTGGGCCACGGCCAAGGGGTCTCCTTCTCCCCCTGGTGAGGGTCTCCTTTGAGGCTCGGCTGGGCTCAGCTGTCTGTCCCTTTGCAAAGACTTTGGGCATTGCCTGAGCCCTTATCACACAAAGTGCAGGTGCCATCATCCTCCCCCGTCTCGCTTTAACAATCACTCTGGGCTTCCTTTCTGACTCCCACCCCTCCGTGCCTGTCCACCGCTGCCCCTGCCTCTTCTCTGGGCTCTCTGGCAGTGATGTTCTCAGTCCTGCAGATGCAGCTGCACCTCGATACATGTTGAGGTCTCAAGCCTCATGACAATTTCTTGAAGAAATATCTACTGGTTTGGATATTCTTATCCCCCCAAAATTAGGATTTGGTGTACCTGGTTTAAGGTCTTTGAGTCGGACCCTCTTCCCCCCAACATGCATAGACAGACACCCCGGCCTCACCACCTTCAGTGCCCAGAGCCTGCTTGGTCTGGTCAGCTCCTTGCTTGCCTCTGAGCAAGTGGTCCATTGGGTCAGGGCTGCCAACGTGTGTCTATGAAGGGTTGGGTGTGGGGGGGGCCTGGGGGGGCCAATCCCTCAGCAAATACCTCTCCCTGTCAGCTCACTCATACAGTAAAGGAAATCTGATTTTAAAAATAGAGCTTGGAAGAGGAGATGAGAGGATATTTAGGAGCAGAGTTGAGCCTGGGGCAGGGGGCGGGGGTGGAGGAACTAGGGGAGAGGTGAGGACAGGGGAGGAGGGCGGGAGGCCCCAGTCGTGAGGAGGAAGGTAGAGACAGAGAGAAAGGGGAGGCTTGAGGGCAGAAGGGGAAGGAGGGAAAATGGGGGCTCCGTGTTCTCCTTCTCTGATCTCTTGGACACTACGCCACACCTGAAGACCCTGGCTCTCTGGGTTGCCAGGATGGGGTCAGGGCCAACATTGGTTGAAGACCCCTGTCAGCCTTGGCCTGCCTCCGGGCCATACTCAGAGCCACTTGGATGTGAGGGAAGTGGCCACCAGGTTTTAGGGGCTAAGCGATGTTGGAATGAACATCCCCATTTGCTCCCTCCACTGCCCACATGCTGCTTGTGACATGGACAGGAGTTGAGCATCACGATGGGTGTGGGCTCGCAGGGACACTGGGAGGGCCGCAGGTGGTTAGTTATTCTGTTAAACTAATGTCAGGGTCAAGATGTGCCCTTGGAGGCTAGGCTGAGGGTCCGTCTTGGTTTCCTTGTCTGGAGCAGTGGTGTGGTCACTCTCCTCATTCAGCTTGCTAGTTGGGATCAGAGAAGGAGGGTGAGGGGACTTCTGAGGGTGGCTCCCTGAGGGCCCCTTGAGGAGCTTGGGTTGAGTCATGGGTCCCAGTGGACTGTGGTACCTACCGGGCCTGCTGGCCTGGCACAGCTCGCGTTGAGGGTCCCTTCTTCCCGGTTGCCCACTCAACTCTCTGACGTGTGGCTAAAACCCACTAGGGCCTTCCAGATGGGAGATCTTTTGTATCTTGACCCAGAGCGGCCAGACTCAGTTACTCCCCTCTCCTCCTCCCACTGGACCTTGGACATCATTGGGGAGACTGAGTCTTTGGAAGGGGGTTGCTGTGGCTCAAGACAGACAGTGAGTTGTGGCAGAGCTGGGGCTGCTCCTCCAAACCCAAACCAGGCTGGGTGGGGGGCCTCCTGGAGAGGGTCCCGTAGCCCCTGGCATCCCCAAGCTGTCGAGGTGAAGGGCAGAGCCCCTGCCCAGCAGTGTTCCTGCGGCTGAGCCCCTGCCCCCACCACTTGACTGGCAGCTCCAGGGGCAGCTGGATCACTCTGCCCAGAATAACCCTGGGAGGGGGAGAGGCGCGTGCCGGAGGGGCTGGAGAGGGGTCACAGATGAGCGTCCTTCTTCCTCGGGCTGCCCGAATGGCCGAGCCAATCAGCTGCTCCGCAGGCTGCTCTTGCCTTTCAAGGCAAGTGGGCCGGGGCAGGGGCAGCAGCCCGCGCAGGGGCTGGCTGGGGCCCACGCTGGCTTTCTGCGTGCCCTCCTCTTCCCAGGCCCTCAGTTTCCCCAGATTTGTGAGGAAGGCTTGGGCGGGGGTCTTCTCACTTTGCTCCTGCTGCTCTGGGGTCCTGAGAGGTGCCCGAGGGGTGAGCCTGGGGGGCAGTGCGAGGGGAGGGGTTTGGCTGAGCAGGTGGAGCTCAGGGGCGCCACCCCTGCCTCAGTTCCACCAACTGCTCTTAGAAATGGGGGTCCTCATACTCTTTCACTGAAACAGAGGTCCCCACGTGAAGCCATGGTTGGGAGGCAGGCTGGGTGGTTCGTTCTAGAGTTTGTCCCGGTTGACAGCCGGGCTGGGAGGGTCTCTGATGGGCTGCCTCCATGCCCGGTGTTCTGTTGCTGCAGGGACAAGCCAGGAGCTGTAGGCCTAGGAGCATAGGGACTTCGAAGTAAAGGAGGGGGGCTCGGCCTTGGTGCCGGTGGGACTAGGGTCGGAGTGGGAGGCCAAGGCTGGCCTCAGTATCCCCATTTGCAAAATGGAACGAGCCCCTCCTTCCTGGGGGGAGGTGGGCGCCTCAAGCCCCTTGTGAAATGCTCTGAACAAATCAGGGCCTGTTATTATCATTAGGACTCTTAGGCTTATTACCTTTAAAACACTCCCTATAATTGTCATGGTCAAGACTCAGACCGCCTTTTCATGCATGGTGTCACTTTAGTTTTCCCATTCACCTCACGAGGTGACAATGCCTCTGCTTGAATGTGAATGAACCGGAGTCCAGAGGGGCAAGCCGACTTGCCCAGGAGATGTAATTAATGGTGGCGGGGGGCGCTGGGAGCCAGACAGTTGAACAGCCACTGCGATCAGCTGCTGATGGCTGAAGCTAGTGAGGGATGGGGTGTGGAGATGCAGAAGTTGCGTGTCTTCCAGCCAGGGACAACTAGAATTTATTTATTAAAATTGATGTTTCCGGAGGCTCTGCTCTGTGTCAGGTGTGACCCTAGCCGCGCGGCCCCTGATACTGATCTTGCCCCTTAACAGGTAGGGCGCGTCCCTGTTTCACAGCGCTCCCTGGAGAGTGCGAGGGCCCCGTTCAGGAGGAGGCAGAGGCAGCCTTCAGAGCCAGGTTTTCCTCCCTCCACGGGTGGATGGAGAGGGTAGGGCAGATGCCCCAGGTTGGGTAGGCAGTGGCCATTTTCATCCCATGGCATTCATGTGGTCAGCCCTGTGGCCCGACGGGAGGCCAGACCAGAAGAATGGGGACCTCAGTGTCTGCCTCTATCTCCCCAAAAAGCTCCTGTGGTCATTCCGACTCAATTTGGCTAATTTGGTTGTTGGCAGAGGGACAGGACAGCTGGCTCAGGACCTGCTAATTATAGCTGCTCGAGTATTTGAACAGAGGTATTGAGTCTCTCATGTCATGGTTTTTTCTTGCAGATAAACTAACCGTTTAACCTTTGTTCTGAGCGCCGGCGGACCCGCTGTTAATTGCCCTGGCCCCCTCCGTCTCCACCAACCTGCCCCCCAGGGGGGAGGTCACATGAGGACCCCCCCAACTCTTACCTTTGATGAAAGTGTTCAGTGGATCTGGTCCTGTTGCGTCAGCCGGAAGGTCGCTTCTTTCTAAAAAGTTATTAGATAAATTCATTTCTTTAATGATGGAAGTCCAGGCTTTGGTGCGTGCGTGCATCGTCCGCAGTAGCAATCAATCGGACACACCCGCAGCCTTCCCCTGTTTTTCCCACAGGACTCCATCCCAAGGTGCCTTTTCCCACGTTGCTGCATTCGGGTGCCCCCGTGATATTTCTTTGTACTGTGTGCCAGGCACTGTTTTAGTTCTTTTAATCCTTATATCAACATGTGTGTTACTTTTATTACCTCATTTTTCAGAAGGGGAAGCTAAGGCCCAGGGACAAACCTCAAACCACTCTTGGGTCCGACCTCACATCTCTAATGGGGACTGACCAAGGCGGCGCCTCCTTCAGGCCTCAGGGCCAGCAGGTGAACCCTGGTCCTCATGGTCCTCCAGCCTTTGCCCTGTGACTCCTGAGCTCTGGACAAGCCCCCGCTTCCTGCCAGAGCCTCATTTTGCTTCTCCAGCAAATGCACATAGGAATTCCTGTGAGTCTGGGGCCTGGGCCTCTGGTGCAACGGCAAGTGGATCTCTTAGCTCCCTGAGCTCCGGCTCCACCAGCAATTATGAGTGGCATCTTCCCAGGTGGTGGTCTGTCCTTCACCTGGGACCCCTGTCCTGAGGACTTCAGTAATATTTTGTCTTGCCCCTGGTGTCAATCTGCACTTGCCCTTCCCTCGTTTAGCACACAGTAGGGCTGTTGGCAGCAGGTGAGGCCTGAGGCAACAGCTCGGTGGCCAACAGCCCCATGAGCACTTTCTCCTCTCTCCTCCCAGGTGGCGTGGAGGTGCATCGGCGGCTTCCTCCTGGGAAGGAAGCAGATGCCTGGCCCAGGATCAAATCAAAGGTCTGGAAAATGATCTTTTTTTTCCCCTGATTTGTAAATTCGACAATTTGTAAATGTGTAGACTCCTCAGAATGGAACTAACTTGAGCCCTTCGTTCCCCAGCCGAGGCTCACTGCCCCCCGGATGGGCAGTGAGTCGGTGGGTTCCTGAGGCCAGGGAGCAGCCCAGCCCTGCCCCTCGGGATGACACACCTTCCCAGAGGGGTGTGGCGCCCTCCCAGGCTGACCTCCCAGCAGACCAGGTACGTATGCCCTGCTCTGCTACACTGATAGCCTCTTGGGGAGCTAGGGGCCTCGAGGAGTGGGGGTTATACAACTTTAATATAATTAAAAACCGGGAACAGTGCTGTGTTACTCCTGTCTATCTGTTATGAGTAACCAAGGGAGGTGTTAAAATCTCACCGTGATACGAAGAGGTGCCAAGAACTGGGACAGCTATGAGAGGGTCTCGAGGGGTCTGCTCTGGGGCTGGAGAGGGCAGGCTCCCCTGAGAGGAGGTGGGGGCCTTGGACAAGTGATGTAACTCCCCCCGCCCTCTCCTGTGCCGTGAGGACAGCAATCTGCATGTGTTGCCTTGATGCCTTCAATGAAATAAAATAGAAAATGCCTGGCACACAGTGGCCATGTCACGTGCATACATTGACAGTAGTCAATGTTACATGCAAATGGCTCTTATTTTAGGTGGATCTGTCCCATAACTGTCCCTTTGAAAGCCCTTCTTATTTTGTAGAGTCCAGAGGGAAGACAGGGGACAGGGGCAGGGAGGGTCTGCACTGGGTCCTTAGGGCCTTTATAACTTTTATTGGCACTGCCCGGCTTTAGGTAGCCTTCCGGAGGAGCGGATGTCTTCACGTTGAATTACCCCGGCCCGGAGGTGAGTGCAGGTAATTTCAACCTGGGTACTGCATCTTATTTTTATTTCTCATGAAAATATTTTCTATCTGAAAAGCTATGACAAACACTTGAAAGTATTCACCAGGGCTAAACCCAATCCCGAATAAAATGCCATGCAATAAACAGCAGAGACTCAAAGGCAGGAAAGGCAGTTAAGAGCTGACCACGCTGGCAGGGGACTGGTTAACCTGTGCTCACATTTCTTCTGCACAAAGTCATGGTTGGAAATAGGTCTCTGCCTGGCAGAGGGGAGAAAAGTTCTAGAAGTTTCCTGTGTGCATTAGCTTAGTGAGAGGAGAGACTCTAACCAGTTAGCCAGTTAGTTGATGTCTGCAGATGGGGGTCAGGACCAAACTGGATGGGGGTTCTGACTGCTGGGGTTTTACGTTTGCTAAGTGTTGTGTTCTTGGGATCCCAGAGCCTCAATGTCTTTATCGGTCCATGGTGATAGCATCATCTCTGTGGCTCACCTAGCCCCGTGCCTGTTCATGGATCCTGACAGCCTGTGATCCCTGGAGGGGGCCTGGGGAGTTGGGTCTGAAGGTTAGTGTACGACCAGGAGTTGGGGTACCTTGGGGAAGGAGGGGGTTCTCATGGGAGCAGTATGCTACCCCGGACATGCAGGGGGGCAGGAGGAGACTGCAAGGTGGCTCCCCATTCTTGTGGAGCTGACAGGTTAGAAATGCCCCTGTCCTTCAGCCTCACTCTGTCTTGGTTGGAACTGAGGAGGAGGCATGGCAGCCGAGGGTTCCGCAGGGGAACCAAGCTGTCTGTGGAGGAGCACGTAGCCAGGCCCCGGCTCTTTGCCAGCAAGCTGAGCGCGGCTGTTGACGCATGTGAGCTGCGGGGCCCCGGCTCCCCAGAGGCCCGTGTGTCCCCTGCGCCCACGCCTGTCTCATGTCACATTCTCCCCGAGTTCTCATTCCAGTGAGCTAATCCCCGAGAAGACGGGCCAGGGCATTAGCTTTCGGGGCCTCTCGCAGACCGAAAAGGAAAGTGCTCCCTGACGGGTACATTGCAGGTCCCTGCTGTTGGCTCGGCAGGGATTTGGGGCCTGCGGTTGGTGACGTGGCAGCCAGCAGGCACACACCTGCTGGCCTCATGTCACTGACACCCCACTCGGAGGCCCAGGGCTCCAGCTCTAGGACATATAAAATTAAAAAAGGAATGATCTTTGGGATAAAATAAATCCCCCATGTCTGCACAACTTGTTTGGGGAGACGTGCCGGGTCCTGATCCATCAGCCAAATGCTCTTCCTTTTGCGTTTGTAAAAAAACAAAGCTCCCCCAAATAAAGAAACAAAAAATGCCCCGCAAACAAATAAAAACCAAAAAAAAAAAAAAAAACCCAAACCCCCAGAAAACGTTTATTTTAATTATGTAAGAAATGCATTGGTAATTAATACTCTCATTACTAAAAGTCAAACAGTGCAGATAAAGCTGACGCCATCTTCAACGCCCCCTCGGTCCCAGCGCCCCCCGCCCTGACAGAGCAGCTGCTGTTGTCAGTTTCAGGTGTGTAGTTCCACATATTTTTCTCTGCATTTGCATATGTATTTACCTAGACCTGTAAAATATATGATTTTGTTTATTTTCTCTATAAACTACATCATAGTGTACATTTCCTTTCGAGCAGCTTGTTTTTCTTCACTCAGGAATCTGCTTGGAGATAATTTAAAGATCGGCATCATTTCTTATCACAACCCCTTAGTCGCCTGTAATCCGTAAACACTGGCGTTCATGTACGCCCCTCACTGCTGTCTCGAACGCCCCAGGCCCTTTCTGGTGGGGACGGGTTGTCGAGGCAGGTGTAAGTCCTTGCTGAGATCTGGACTTGAGGAGGGGGCTCACGCGTGTTCCTGACATCATTACAGATGAATATGTGCACGCACAAATTAGCAAAATAAAAGCGGGGTGTGCCTGGACCCATGAGGAGAGAAAGTGTTTACGAACAAAAGATGGTGATTAATCCTGTTCTGCGCAAAGTACTGAGGTCCATTAAAAGACAATGGGCCTCGGCTGTTTGGTTCTTTTTAAGAGCTGTTTAATATTCTGGGGTGTGTGGGGACCATTGCTGGTTAGAGCCAGCTCTGCTGTTGAAGGTCCTAGCTGTAAGTGTGCTGAGGGAGGACGATGTGTACAGATAGATGCTCGGTTAAGGTCCTCGTCGCCGAGGTGGGTCACAGGTTTGTGGGTGCTGGTTATATTATTTAAGAAAATAAATAAAAAAGGAATACATAAAATAAAAGTGGTCCTCACGCAGTTAAATGAGGAGGGCACATCACAAACCGAGGTTTTAATTAATATGATTCTGCTCAACTGACGCCAGCTAGAAATGATCTAACGTTTTTTGTTATTGCTAACGACCCTGCAATGAGCATTCTTGTAGCCGAATCTGTAAACACGTCCCCGACTGCTCCTTTATCTAGCTTCTTAAAGGTGGGATAGCTGGGTTTTAAATGGTTTGGTTTACAGAGTTTATTCTCACTGAGTGATCTTTCTAAAATGCCGTTCTGCCTTGTCACTGTCTTGCTTTAAATCCTCCATCTGACTTCCCGGAGCTTCTGGGACGTGGTCCAAGCGCCTTAGCCTGGCATGTAAGACCCTTCAGGGTCCGGCTGGAGGCTCCCAGCCTCGTCCCCCTCCCCATGCAGGCACATATTTCCCCGCTAGGCACTGCAGCGCGACCTGCTTCTCCCTGCGTGCATCCTGCCTTTTAAGACCTGGGGGCTTCGGCCTTGCCTTTCTAGCCAGCTTCTCCTTGGCCCCGAGACCAGGCTTGAAATGCCCCCTGCGGTGAACCTAGAATTAGAGGCCATTCACCCCGCCCCCACCCGCCAGCATCTCATTCAAAAGTCCAGCAAAGCATAGTCCCCGGAATTGGGATGCCTTATTGACGTGTTTTCTAAGTTGACAAGTTTTGCATTTTTCTAGAATTCACAAAACTGGCCACATGTTAATCACCCCCTTTCCTTTGTCCCTTTCCAGTGTCCCTGGCTCCCGTGTTGCCTGCATCTGATGTTCCCTAACTGAAACCTGCCTCATGTTCCTCCCTGGGCCGATGGGCAGTTTCAGAGGACAGAGCTGTCTGCTCTGCGGCGCTGGGTGAGTCTCAGTATGCTGTCACGCTGAAAACACACACCTGGCGGGGTGCAGGCTAGCGTCGCCCATTGGCCCAGACTGCTCTGTCGCACCCTGTTGGGCACACAGCGCGGGCTTGCCCCTTGCCTGCCGGCAGCTGTGTGCAGGGCCCCAGAACCCAGAGTCCTGGGGTCCGGGGTGGGGGTGGTAGCATCTCAGGGTCGGGAGTGCCAGTGACGGGTTTTCAGGGCATAATTACAGCCTGGGAATGGTTGATTGTGTCCTTTGTGGCCTGTTCCTTGCCAGAGGGAAGTAAGCCTGGTCTGGGAACATGAGAAGGAGGAAAATCCTAGCATGTGACAGCAGGGCCACCAGCTGGGGTGATGGCGATGGCTCCGGGGAGAGGACAGAGTTGAGTGGTGCCTCTGCCTTTGGGCCGGGTCATGTTCTAGAAAGAGCACAGGCTTTGGGGTCGAGAGACTGTGATGCCAAGGTGGCATCATCCTTGGGGGCAGAGGACATCACCTGCTTGTAGAGAGGAACAAAGGTCACCACGGTGTTGGTGTTCAAGGTTTGGGTCCCCTTTCTTTCCCTGGGAGCGGCGGGGGTGAGGGGTGGGTAGGAGGCATCCCGAGAGGCCAGCCATCTTGAGCGCAGACCCAGCTACAGAGCAGACACAGAGCTGTGTGTCCTTGGCAAGTCCCCAAGAATTCCTCTGCCTCAGTTTCCTGATAATAAAAAAGGAATCCTAGACTCCCACACAGGTTACTGCGAGGCTCAGGGAGAAAATAACACAGATAAACCCCCCAGCACACGGACCCAGCAAAATCAGAAGCCTTTCCCTTCTCGTACCATCCTGGAATGCTTGACTGACGACCCTCCCTCCCTCCCTCCTGAGACACAGGTAGCTCCTTTTCAGAGCAGGGAGACCCACCAAGGAAAACAAAAAAACAAAAGGCTGAGAGAGAATGAGCGGGGCCAGAAGCCTCTCTGCTCCCCCCCTCCCCACCCCCCCCCCCCCCCCCCGCCCCCGGGGGTTCGAGGGCCTTTTCTCCAACACCTGGGGGCCCGGGAAGGGGCTGCCCCCACCCGTTTTAATTGGGTTCTCCTAAAAAGTTTTGTGATAGTTTATTTTGTTTTTTTATAAATATATATAAAATGTCAGACTACTCTTCAGGCAGATTTTTTGGGCTTGTATTTTATAGACTTTGGCAAAAGCTGCTGAGAAGGAACAGTGGTTGCAGTCTCCAGAGGTTAATAATTCCTGGAAAAACTTCTGGCTAAACCTGACTTCTCCTAAATTTCACAGAAAACGCTCCCTGGGCCGGGCCCAGCCTAAATGAGGTTTTTGTGCCTCTGTGCAGCCTTACCTAGTGGAAGTGTGACTTGCTTTTTACACAAAAGTGAACTTCCTTGGCCACGGGGCACAAAGACGCCTCTCTCCTCAATTTTCAGTTTGTTTACTCTGGAGCGAGGGCTCGGCACACGCTCGGCTCGCCCCGCCCGGGCTGTTTCTCTGCAGCCGTTCATGGCGCTGCCGGTGCCCCCACCATGCAGCCCCTCGCTCCGTGCCGAACCCCCGTTCCTAACTTTCTCGCCATGGGCGAGGGAGCTGGGCTTTGTTTGTGTCTGGAGCAAAAGGAACTCTTAGTGGGAGGGGGGTAGCGCCCCCTCCTCTGCAGGAGCCTCCTCCGGCCAGCCTGCCCATCGGGGGCTAAGAGAAGCTGCCCCGTGGCCTCTGCCTGTCAGGGATCTGGGTGGGTGACTTTACAAATCCACACCAAAGTGATTCTGAGCGCCCCCCCCCTTTTTTTTCCTGCGCCACCAGCTACCCGTGACCAGAAACCTTATTTGCACCATTTCACATGTGCGTGACTTGTTGTTCCGCGCCCCGTTTCCCCCCCCAACCATGTAATGCCGCAGAGGCCGGAACACGTATGCAGATACCGCTTTACTAAACATTTTCAAATCCACAGTTTCAAAACAGTCCTTTAATAGATTAAGACAACAGCAATGACGAAAACAACGAAAAACCGAGGCTCTGAGAAAGCAAACAGTTTCCCCAAGGGCTCGCTCGCGGCTCCTAAGCGGGTCGGCCGGGCAGTCTGTCTGGCTGTCTGTCTGTCTGCGGGCACCAGCCTGCACTCGCCACCTGCAACACGATGCTGCCCCCCCACGGCGGGTTGGAGCAGCTGTTGGGACCCCGAGGCTGACAGATAGCGCCTGGCAGTTTGGGTTGTCGGGAGTGGGACAATTAGGCAGCACTGACAAGGGGCTCCGTCCCTGGGTCCCTGGGTACGTCTGTCCTCCCTGAATCTTTCAGCCCCATGGAGCTGCGTCCCTGCCCGAGGGTGAGCGAGGGCACCAGGGTCATTTCACAGACAAGGAACCTGGGCTGGCCCCGCAGCCAGCCTGTTACACACACACACACACACACACACACACGCACGCGCGCGCACACACACTTACACACAGAGTGCCTACACTGGGAACAAAGACGAGAAAACTCCTTTAGAAACTGCAGAACAGAGCCTCGTCTCGCGGGGGTCCCCTGATAAAGGCCCCGTCCACCCGGAGTTCCTGGGAACGGAGCCCCCGTGAATGGGCCTGGAGAGCCAGCGCCTGACTCCAGCGTGGGCTGCATTCATCAGCCCGCAGGCCCCTGGGCCCCGCCGCCGGGCGAGGGGGCTTTCTCCAGTCCCCAGAGCATCCAGCCACCGGCCAAATCTGTGGCTGCGGCCCAGCCTCCAGCAAAGGGCCCTGCTTTTCCCATGACCGGGCCAGCCCCACAACTCACCAGACCCCCCTCCTTCTACTTCCCCCCCTGGAAGGCTCCCCCCACCCTCTGCGCCAGCCTGTTGCCCCACAGAGGACCCAGGCCAGCGTTTCTGGGCCTGGGAGCCGGGGCGGGCACTTGGCCACTCCAGGTGGCCTGGCCCTTGAGATGGGGAGTTGGCTGCAGGACAGCCCCCCACCTCCCCCCGCTGGCCCCGAGCACTCACCCCCATTCTCCGCTCCTCTCCCTCACTGCCTCATTGTGACAGAAGCGCTCCGCCAGCCATCTCCGTGCCTCTGCCATTCAGCTCGGGGCAAGGTACACGGGGAAGTCTGCGCATCCTTGCTCTGACCCCAGCCTGCCTCCTCCGCAGCCAGCCCAGCTCGGGACTCAGCTCTGTAGGAGCTTCTCAAAGGCCTAGACGTGCGGGCTGCCAGCCCGGGCAGGGAGCCGTGCTGCAGCCTCCCGGCCAAGTACCGGCCTGCCTCTCTCTGCTCGGATGCCTCCCGTAACAGGGAGCTCCCTCTCTCCCCGAGCAGCCCGCTCGGGGCTCGCAGACGGAGCTGCCTCGCCAAGCCCTCCCCTGCTTTCTGCGTCTGCCTCCGCGGCTCCACAGCGGCCCCTCGCCCCCTCTGCCCTCGGCTCTTTGCAGGCAGCAAGCTCGCTCTCAGTCCTCCCTTTTCCGTGCTGAATGGCAAGCCCCCTATCAACCGGGAGGCCAGGTTTGGGGTCCCTGTCACCGTCCTGATCACGGCCGTCTACACCTGTCCCGGGACGCCTCTGTCCCTGCACCTTTGGATCTGGGACGGGGCCCTTTGCCCTGCTGTTCTGCAAAGAGCCCAGGGGAGGGCGCGGGTCTCCCCGCCTGGGTCCAGCTGCTCTGGCGCTATCTCTTAAGCGGCTTCTGAGCCCTGTCGGTTTTTTATGGCCCCTTTGCCAGTTGCCAGGGAGAATGCTCTCTATGCAAACCCCCCTGTCTTTTCCGCAGGAGCTGCTGGCGGCTGGGCCGGCCCTGGTCAGCCCGCAGCGGCGGCGGCAGGCGGCCGCGGCGGGGCTGGGGGCCTCCTGAGTGAGACAGGCTGGGCTCCACTCCCTGCTCCCTAGCTGTGAGACCACGGCAACCCCCTCTACTGTTCAGAGCCT